TGGGTTCTGCCCCTGCTCACACAGACCAATACACCCTGGTGTTTGTTTGCCTTTTATGTGAATACATCCCATTCAGTTCATCACGTGCCAGCGGGACTGTAACATGATACAACGTGAATGGCCTTCCTACTTTGGCTTACACAATTTGCTCTTTGCTTTTTCTAAGACATAACCTTCTGAGTGCCACAAGGCAAGATGCTGCTGTAGGAAATGAGGTAGGGCTGCTCCTGTAGCTGCTCCTCTTCAATGGAGAAGATAATTTTCATGGAGATTAAAGAAATCCCTAGTGTAACTCATGCTCACACACAGAGCTGGAGCTCCAGTGCATGACTTTGGCCATGAGCTAGAAGGATGCAGGCAAAGACCACACTAGAGATGTCAAATCTGCATTTTGTTCACCAGCAGCCTATTGTATTCCCAGCTCTTCTCTCAGCTTTTCCCCATTTGGCACACATTTCTCCCCATAACAGCTGAGCACTAGCCAGACTGCTCTCCAGAACGTTGGCTAGACCTTGCACATAGGTAGAGCACTGAGTGGTTGCTAATGCTCCTGTAAACCAGAGCCTTGCAGAAATCATGCCAGTGCCTCCAGTGCTGCATAACCGCCTCAGCCTAGGAGCTTCTCACCCTTCTCTTCCTTTGGTTTCCTCTTGCCATATCACAGAAAAAGCAGAAGTAGCAGATGTGGAAGAAACCTGACCTGCCATCCCAGGCGTGCTGGCCACGTCTGTGACACACTCCTGGCTACCCACATTGTGGTTCTACTTCCCACCCATCAAAGCAGAGGCAAAAGAAAACTGTGGTTTATCTGCTCTGGTTTTGGGAAGCTTGCCAGGAGGTGTGCCATGCACACCCACCAGAGAAATGTCCTGACCTTCCCCTCATATCGCTCCTCCCAGTGTCACTTATGAGCTGTGCCTGCAGCAGCACCCAGGAGGTACTGCAGGCAGCTGCTGGGAGAAAGCTCTTCACCACCCTCCCTGGTTCAGCATTATCCCTGCCAGGGTACAGGAGTGAACAGTGTTTTGCAGCTGGATCTTAGCCCTGGGCTTACACCATGCTCCATGGCACTGGAACTAGGAAGGAGTTACAGAGCAGCTGAAATGCATTTCTCATACGTGTCTCAGTTCTGTGCATTAGTGAGTTCTTAGAAATGTTTTGGCCATGAAGTGTTTCTACATGCTACCCAGAAGGCAGGCTTTCCAGCTGCCCAGTGGAGGAGGAAGCCAAGGAGAACACTGGCACAGAGGCCAAGGCTGCCCAGCAAAACAGCCCTGGGCTTAGCCAGGAAGATTCTGCAAACAGCAGCCTTTGACTGCCTCGACTGGTTCTGTCCTGAACAGCCTCAAAGCACCTGCCAAACCCAGCACGAGGAAGAGAAAAGGTGGGTTAACACTGCAAGGCAGTGCTGGGGAGAGCCAGGACGTCAGGCTGAAACAGTGCTGCAGTGGCTGCTTCCCTGTTTGGTCCCCAGCCGTGCTCCCTGGTCACCCAGTGCAGCTCAGCGCCACTGCTCCAGAGAGCACAAAGGAGGGAAGATAAATAGTCCATGGTTAAAGGCAGCAGTAAGACGCTGCCACAGGCACCCTGTATCACATTAATAAGCTTCTTTGGCTACAGAACTAGCCTGTGCAACCTGGACTCTGCCATACTCCTGCCTCCCAGGGAGGAGTGAAGTAGGGTGGGCAGCATGGCTGTCCTCTGGTGCAGAGGGATGTGCCAAGGAAGCATGGAGCCAGAGGCAGCTCAGTGCAGGCTGCAAAGGGGAGGTCTCACCCACGGCATACATGGGGAGGTGATGTTGGCCTGGGAGGAGAGCACTGTTACAGGTGACAGTTGTACACTGGGATTGCTGGCCCATGAGCCTTCAGCTTCTCCACTGAGACACATGATCCTGTGTCTACCCTCAGAAGTGTTAGTCATTCTCTTCCATTTGCGGTATGTGGCTGAACTGACTCCAGGTAACAGAAACAAACAAAATGCTGAGATTTTCCTTATAGGAAGAAAAATAGATTTATTTTTAAAGTAGAAAATACATAACAATAGCACAGTCCTGTATATTCCAAGCCATCTACTCACAGTGTAAAGTAGCATGTTGTCCAGCCTGGACTTGTAGTGATTCCAACCAGGATGAACAAGAGGGTTTTACCAATGATCCCCTGACTTGAGCTCTGGCTCAGGACTGAGAAGCAGTGTGCCAGCACAGTGATGCAAGGGCAGGAAATTCCCTCTGCAGAAAGATCTTCTTGCCCCTTGTCTCAGCTCCTCTTCAAGTGGTCCTGCATTTAAGAAAAAGGACACAAGTTTCATTCCTTACTTCCCAAGCCTAGCTTTCCTTGGCACCCAGAGCAGCAGATACACAGGACCAAAACAGAGAGAGAGGACTTGAAAAGAAAGAGGTAGGAAATTAGTACAGGTATCTGTGAGACAACAGGTTGTTTGGAGATATCCAGTTTGTGACAATATATTAACAGTGCGAGGCAAGGGGTCTCCATGCACATCGAAGTATTGACATGCAGACTGTCAGGCACTCTGGGTCTGTGCGGAGTGTGACTGTTCCCATCCTCTCCCCTCTTCCAGGACAAGGCTTGTCCAGATACTACAGTCTCAGCCACTGAGACTGGCTGAGTGCTGGATGAAAGTTCATTTCTGTAGCAGTCTTGTCTAAAGTTGCAAGGCCATCTGGGTGCAGCAAAAACAAAAGGAAAAAAAAAAAAGAAAAAGAAAAAAATGCTGCTGTATGTCTGGATATGTTCACCCAGTTAGGCAAGGCCTGGTAGCACTGCAAGAGGATAGGGCTGAGCTACTTTGAAGTCCAAGAAAGTCAAGAAACACAATTCAGTGGAGGACATAAAAGGAGAGTACCATTCAGCCCACCCAGTATGACACGCTATGCAGTTCTGACATATTTTATCTTTCTTCTGCCTAACTTTGGACAAGAAGTGTCCCCTGGGTATATCAATACCCATGTACAGGAGTGCAGCAATTGAGTCTAACACTTCAGGGAGAGGATTTTCTCAGCCATCAACAGGAAGACCAAGACAGGCCCCAGCTAAATAGCTTTGCTCCAATACAAATCCTGGAAGTGGAACCACACAGGGAACTCAGCAATCCTGGTGCAGGGCTTCAAGCCCCGCAGTAGGTCTGCAGCCAACAGAATGGCCTTCTGATCTCTCTTCACCTCCAGCTGACACAAATCCAGAGTCTTCCAGGGGTGCAGAACAGCACCACTACTGCTTCCTCCTGCCTTCAGCAGCTCAAAGGGATAGGGATTTACCCACAGGCTGCACAGGGGAGCTGCGCATCCACTAGATGCTTCAGACAATTAACACATGCGGCATAGCCAGCTGTATCTGAAGGCTACCTGGCCCACCTGACCTGGTTATAGGCAACCTGCCCAGTATATTGCAGCCTCAGTAACCGTCTGTGTTTCCAGCTGCTGTGACCTTGTTTAGAGTCCTCACAGACTGCTGCCTTTTCCTATGTTCTCAGCCTTGCCTTCGGCTCATTGCCTCTGCTACCCCCCAGGGCTCTCTGCCCAGCACCCACTTCTGATACGTGTCTCTCTCCACAACATTAAGCCACTACTACAGCTGACTACTGTAGTGTGCAGATATACTTTCTGATAGCACTTGTCCTTCCAGCTCCAGGCCTCTAACAAACTGTGAGCTCTCTCCAGCAGCCTTGTTCTTGTACTGCAAGAACACTGTGCACTACAGGTGCTGGGAACCCCACATTATGCTGTTTTTCCCCATTTTTCACAGTCTCTTTGCAGACCTGGAATGGAAGCTGGCCACTATCCTGTTTTTCCTGCCCTATTTCTAACTAGCTGGTGGCCAAGACATGCTTTAGTCTGAGCACAAAGGGAAGAGCCCCTTTGCTCCTCCATTTCCCAGGGAAGCTGCAATTGCTGTCTGCCTTCCTGTGTACTGTCTCCTCTTACCATGTCACTTGGGCTCTACATCCTCAATGTTGAGACCTTGACAGCAGCTGTGTACAGAGGTGTTCAAGGGAATGGAAGAGAACTGCAGCGAGAAGCAGAGAGACAACATTAGGGCAGCAGTGACTGGGATGCTGCATCACAGCCCTTTCTGTTGTGGACTTCTCTTTGGGCATCTCAGCAAGCCTCTCCCACAGTCTTCCCCAGGCCGGCACTTCCAATGAACACAGTCTTGACCCAAGACCACCAAATAAAGCCTGTGACCCAGGAGCTAGGAAACCGGGTGCTACTTGTGGAAGCCTCCCCTCTCTTGCCCCTGGGTAGGGCAGCTCCTCACGTCCCACAGCAGCGATGGGCAGCAAAGCTTGGCAGAGGATACCCCCAGCTCACCTGTTGGATTTCCTGCATGGCCAGGCGTATGGAAGAGTGGAGGCGAGGTAAGGCTCGTTGGCTGCCTCTGTCCTTGCCTGAGCTTGGCTTTGTCCTACTCTTGTCCAGGCTCTGTTGGTTTTGGCAACTCTTGGTCCTTCCAAACCACACACGTTTGAAAACCGTGGCTGCTCCTGACTCCAGAGCAGGTCTGCTGGTGGAAGGCCTGGACAGGGAGGGCTTCTCCTCCGGAGGGGTCTCCCCCTTGGCTGCTGGTGGACCCAGCCAGAGGCACTCCAGATTTTCATAATCTAAACTCTCACTACTCTTCTGAGGAGAGGAA